ATGAGGATACCTGTACCTCCTCCACATCCAACAGAGCGGGGTGTGTGTGAGAACACTGTGTCAACAGAAAGAGCAGCTGGTGTGACTGTATTTTCTGGGCGGATCCAGGTTTCAGTAAGGGCAAGTGCCTGAATGTCTGACATTTTTGCAAGTGCTTGGATGAATTCAGTTTTATTCACAGCAGATTGACAGTTCCAGAGGCCAAAAGTAAATGAAGGGTGGGTAGAAGAGGCTTTCTTAAGCAGAGACAAGTTGTTAAGATTTCGTTGTCTATGACAGATGTGTCTTTTCCTGTTCCCATGAATGACAGAGATTTCTTTGTAGCACATGTTGCGTTTAGCAGATGACCAGAGAAAATAGGCAAAACAGTACTCATGTATGCCCGGGCTCTGTGGCCACGCTGAAGCGCCAGACTTGGCCACGCTGAAGCGCCAGACGCTTGATGCTCAGAGAATGAAACTTAAGTGCTCAGTCCAAACAAAGCCTGACAACGACCCACTATCAATATCTACTCAAAGCAATACTTGAAACTTGAAACTTGATACTTGAAATACCTCCTGAACCATCTGCCTCACTCTACCTCCATATCCCCAAGATGTTATCCTTTAAGAATTATCTGAGCCCAGTTGTTTCAAATGAATCCAGATAAGAATGATCTGGATTAGGTAGTCCATTTTTTTTTTTCATATCCAGGAGTCCAGTTCACTCTTTTTCACTTTTACCTACCCAGGATCACTAGCCCAACTCACTTTCATCCTTGTTTGAAAAAATAAAATAAAATAAAAATTAGCTCAATCTGATCTAAGCAGGGACTTTTATGGATGAACCAAAGTATTCTATAAAGGCCTAAAACAGGGGTGCCCAAACAGTCGATCGCGATCGACAGGTAGATCGCTGACTGATTCTCAGTGTTTAGTCAATATAAAATACAATTGTAAAATAGAAAAGTGATTTCAATTTCATCTCATTGCAGTGTTTCCCACACACGATACCTGTGTGGGGAGCCCAAGAATACTTCCGACCTGTTTGTATTTAATTTTTCATTTATTCATGAAATTGCTGCGTGCATGAGAGAGCGAGCGGGGGAGCGAGAGAGCGTGCGCAAGAGAGAGTGCAGGCATGCGCAAGGACGTGCAGGTAAAACCGGGGGGGTAAATGTTTTACCAAAAAGTCATATATAGAAACTATGCTACGAGTATTAAGCGCATTTGATGTAGCTGCAGCTACTTTTCTCTGCTCCTCTCTGCTGTCATGACTGTGAGCATCGCGGGGCACGCTGAGACACACCAACATACAACGCACTTGCACTGGAGCGCCAGCCACCACGCGAACCTTTTTACTTTTAGTGCTACAGCACACAGTTGATCCGTGATCCGTACGGACCGAGGCGGGAACACACGTGACCCGGTCAAACGGTCGGTTGGACTTTACTCCGTTCACTCTCACCGTGTCTGCAGCTAATTTAACAAAAGCAAAATCATCTCACAGCAGCCTGCTGTAGTCTGTGAACATCTCCACACAGATTAAAGTTGTTTGTTGTAAACAAAATTAAGGGAAAAACATATGTGATATAAATACAAACGTAATATTAAAATGTAGCCTACCCTAAAAGAAGAGTTTTAAAAAAAGTATGTCGATATTGCATTATTTTTTACAGAACTCTCATTTATTATATCTGATATTATTTTCTGTTTGTTGTTTGAGTATTAAATGCGTTTGCAGGCTGTCGGTAAAGGCTACGGCTCACTGTGTGGACTGGTAGATCTCGGCAGACTGGCAACTTTAAAAGTAGATCTTGGTTCAAAAAAGGTTGGGCACCCCTGGCCTAAAAGGTTCAGCAGTGCTCTAAATAGGACCTCACACTGCATACTTCGTCCACAGGGGGGCGCCACAATCCACACAAGTTGAGAGAACCTCTCAGCTGCAACACATTTGATATGTAATGTCATAGCTGACATTTTCTTGTAATCCAGCCTGAATCCAGCACTCTGCTGGTATCACCATAATCCTGAGTTTTTGGATTAAAGAAATCCTAGTCAAAAATTTAGAGAACAAAAACTGAAGGTTTTACCAGTGAACAAAACAGGATTGGATTGGTTTTATCTGATTATGTTTTCCTTTTCTTTTTTAAACAACCTGATTTCAAGATTTGATCCTATCCATAGCTTTAATCCTGTTGGATTACTTTACTACCGGGACTTGATGATATCAGGGAAGTATGATGACTTCTTTTAACGTTGATCTGATCTTCAGAAAATACTTTCTGGGTGCATAGTGCCTCATAATGGTTCATAATGCAGAACAAATGGCATTGCAAGGTTGTGAATCATGCAGATAACCTTTCAAGTCGAGTATTCATGCTGTTAATTATTACAACCCTGATTCCTAAAAGTTGGGATGCTGTGTAAAATTTAAATAAAAATAGAAGGTGATGATTATTTTTTTTAAAGGTTGAAACACCATGCCTGGAGCTAGTGCTAGCTCTGGGGCTACGTGCTCCAACTCATCCCTCTGCACCCGCTTTCTCAGCCTGACACTTCGTACTATTGCCGTCCCCGCTTAGAGAGTCCGGGTCGAACTTGCTGCTCATCTCTTTGCTACAGTTTAAAATAACTCCCTGTCTTCAAACAATGACACTTCACCCACGGAGAGCCCTCTGCCCCGGGCCTGACAAGTTCAAAATCCTGGCGGACGGAAGTCCTGTAGTCAAGCCGAGCAACAGTGCCGGTAGCCGGGCAGCCAACTTAACAAAGCTACCGGTCAACCAGACCTCCTTTCTCAAAGTTGTGTGTTTTTTCCCCCCTACATGTTATAAAGTCTTGTTTGTGCACAATAGAAAGTGGGGCACAGCCCCAGTGAAACGCTGCTCCGGTGGTGGTGGGATAATAAATCCATTTCCCTCACGCATCTGTGAGCGACCTGAACGGGGATTCAATGAGAGCAGCCTGGAGCAAAGCCCGCCACCATGTACTGTCCTCCCCAGAGTCAAACGGGACATGTACCGTTTTTAAACTATCACAACAAATTCATAAACCAAGCAAACTAAACTGAAAATAAGCCTTTTCTCTCTTTTGTATAAAAAAAAAACATAGATAATATATTAACAGCGGACTTCAGTTGTATCCGCTGATTCTCAAAACATATTCGATGGGAGTCTTAAAGAGAGACATTTAAAGATAAAGATAAAGATAAACTTTATTGATCCCCTGTGGGGGAAATTTGTGCATTACAGCAGCTCAAGAAAACAGGGGACGGGAAATAATTATTAAAAATAAAAATAGATGTTAAAAATCAAATCAAACATATTTACATCAGTTGAATAAATAAAAAATACAATAATGGAAAATTGCACAGTAACTACACTGGAAAGAGTTATTGTTATAAAAAAAACACACAGTGTGTAGCATGAGGTGGTGATGCTGTTAAAGAGTCTGATTAAACAGTCTGATGGCAGATGGAATGAAAGACCTGCAGTAGCGCTCTGTCTTGCAGGGTGGGTGTCTGAGTCTGCTGCTGAAGGAGCTGCTCAGGGCCCCCACAGTGTCATGCAGGGGGTGAGAGGGGTTGTCCATGATGGATGTCAGCTTCACTAACATCCTCCTCTGATCCTCTCACCTGATCAGCTGTTATGGAGAGGCCTTCGGAGGAGGAGGAGGGGGCTGTTGGGGGGTCGTCTGAGAAGGAGGAGGAGAGGGCTGTTGAGGGGGGTGGCAGGGTACTCAGGGTACTCAGATGGAGTGTCTGAAAAGCGGGCTGGTCTGCGCTCTGGTGGGTGGGGGTGGGGTTGGGATCAGAATCAAATCTATTGAAGAACAGATCAGTTCATTTACCCACTCCCTGTCTCCTGCTTCAGGGCCCCTCCCACACCTTCTGCTGTGACCTGAGATGTTATTCAGGCCCCTCCAGACTTCTCTTGCATTTTTATGTTGTAAATGCTCCTCCATCTTTGCTCGGTAGCTGGCTTTCCCCTCCTTGATTTTTTTCTTGAGCTCCTTCTGCACCCTCCTCAGCTCCTCTCTATCTCCAGCTCTAAAAACTCTTCTCTTTTCATTGAGCAGGGTTTTCAACTCAGGGGTCACCCAGGGTTTGTTGTTGAAGAAGAAGTTTATGTAATCTGTGATGCAGTGGGTTAAACTGTCAATGTCCTCCCCATGTGGGCTGCACAGCACCTCCCAGTCAGTGATGTCGAAGCAGTCCTGCAGCGCCTCAGTGGCCTCCTTAGACCACTTCTTCACATACCTGGTTGTGGGGGGTTGTTTTTTCACCATAGGTATGTAAATGGGCTGCAGTCTCACCAGGTTGTGGTCTGAGCGGCCCAGGGGGGGCAGGGGTGATGATCTGTATGCATCCTTGGTGTTTGCATGTATGGTGTTTGTAGTGGAAAAATACTGTCTGTCTGTCGTCCTCATTTGAACTTAAAAGACTTAGATGTTTGTGCGTCATTTAGCAATTAAAAACTGTTCCTCTGTATGGCCTTGGTCTGCATCTCCAACAGGTACGCTCCTCATTATCTGAGTACAGCATGAGCCTAAATCAGTGCCCTCCTGACAAAGGAGTTTCTGTTCTGTTCCACCGTACCAGGTACCTTATAAAGAAGCTTGCATACAGTAGATAAATCACCAGGCAAACTAGAAGAAGCTGTAGCCACTAGGGCAAGCTGAAACCAATGACCATGTATTACTCATGTATATGCAAAATACCTACACCCTGTGAATGTATAAATATGCTCTGCAACCGGGACTGCCCCGGGAATCTTTGATGCACTTGTGACTGATGTTACTTTTGTAGCTGATTACCCCTTTTGCAAAACAACTCTTACTATATGCAATAAAATACACAAAGACAAAAGACTTTGACTTGAGATCTTTTATTACCAACAGAAAAATCCACAACAAGGGAACGGATGAGGAAGGAGGGAAGGGATGAGGAAGGAGGGTGAATGGATGAGAAGTAGGGAAGGGATTGTGGGTAGAAGAATCTGAGACAAACGGGATGTGGTGAGGTGACCAGGTGTGAATAAGCTGTCAGGTAATTACAGGTGCGGTTTTAGGCATGATCCTGCTCCTGAACCTAAGTAAATACATTAACGCCAGTGAACACCTGTTAGTGAGCAAAGTTCCTTTTTGTTATCTGTTGTTTGAGCTGGTGTTTTTATTCTTTATCGTCCAGATCTTGACACATCACTGGATATCTAAACAATGGTTGAATGTAGGGAGGAAAGTCTTGTGAAGAGTAGCCGTCATCTTCATAATTGCACCTTGATCACTTTTTGAAGCTTGTTATGACAGGTTGTCTTGTTTTCTGAGTAAAAGGTTTACTTTTTTTAATTTGGATTTCCGTCACATCACAGAGATTTCACCACTGTATTCACTCCAAATTAATCTCTTCTGAGGTAAGCCGTAATATTCTTTATTTTGTTTGGGTGAAACTTATGTTTCATTTTATAGACGCTGAGAAAACAACATGTTTCCATTAGTGTTTACTTTGAAGGTACTTTTTTTTAACGTTTTCTGTTCCTCTTTTATGCTGCATGCTTTAAGCTTCTTGCTTCTGATTTTTGTTTTTAATTGAACCCCTGTATCACATTTACTTGTTTTGTTACTGGATACTTTAGGGATAGGAAATACTCTTCACTGTTTGAGTTCAAACTCTGATATAAAACCCCATGTCATATATCATACTTTATCAATCTATGATCCCATCAGTTAAAAAGCACATGTTCAGTTTGATAAATTTAGAGGTAGTACAGTGCCATCAAAATATATTTAAATGCCCAAAAATAAGTGTATTCATTTGGGAAGCATGAGCTATTTGAACAGTTTCAATTAAATTACTGCAGACATGGTATCATATATGCTGAAGTTGGGAGAAACAGAGGTGATGAGGTTAATTTAATGTTATCTGAAATTATACAGATATTAAATTAAATTATATAGAATCATTGATTTTTTAATCTACAAAGTAACAAGTGAAACTGAAGAGAAAACACTGAGGAATAAATGGAATAGAATTAGAATCTGAAATGTAAATGTGTTAAAGTATAAAGTAACAAAATAGTACCAGTTAAAATGTCTACTTCAAAACAATCTTTAGTTAGGTATTAAGGTCTTTTACCTGCTTTTTGTAAAGTGTGTCGAGATAACACTTGTTATGAGTTGAGGTTATACAAATAAAAATTGATTGATTGATTGATTGATTAGACTAAATGTATATGTTTCCTTTGTGCCTCCATTACTGCGTGCCTGCAGGTAAACTAACCCTACCTTAAGTCAACCTTTTGTCCTCAAGTGACTTCACTACATTTCATAAGACCATGTGACCTTGGCACACCTGATTGTGAGAATTTGACCATCAGTATGAACATTGTAATTATGTTCCTGTCAAACCTCTGGCACCAAAAAGTTGTTTTGTTGTACACTACCTGTTTGGTAACATATAATTATCACATTCTCGATTGACAAGATTAGTTTGATGTTGAAAGCTAGACATGATGACACTATGAATATTCAGAGGTTTTTATGACTGAGTTAAGTGACTTCCAGAAGAATTCATATGATAAACTTAACACAGAGTCTGTTTCCCCTTTTGGTTGTTTTAATCCAGTACCAGAGGAGGACTCACCATGTGGCTAAAAGGTTTTATAAGTAACCATGTCAACATGAAACTTCTGAAGACCTGTGTCATCCTTCTCCTTCTGACTGTGTTGTTCTTTACACTAAGAAACATGGACCTGCTGCAGGTGAGAACTGGGATTATTGGTAACACTTTAAAGGTGGTCATTGAGTGTCTTTCAAAGTGGGGATTGGGCCCCCCTGGGGGCACCTGAGACACTGAAAGGGGGGTCGTGAGATGCTTTCCATAAACAAATAAAAGTTTTAGCACAATTGAGATTGTGCTCTTTGCAGTTAGGGCAGAAAATAAAACACTTAAAAATGTCATGTGGTCTTACCAAATAAAGACATGTGAGCGCGCCGGACAAAACGTATCTGGTATTTTTAATTTGATGGCTGTATTTTTTGTTTGTTTAAATCTTTGTTAATATTTGTATTGGTTCAAATTTGAAGAAAAAAGACAGATGTATATAGTTGTTGTTGGTGTTCATAGCCTTTGTAATTTCATATGTATGTTTTACGAAAATGTTAATGTTTATAATAAATGTAAAAAAAATGTCAATAGTATTTTTTTATCCGTGAAAGATTATTAATATTTGAAAAATGCTTGTATGTGTGTTTATTGCAAAATATTAAAAGTGCACCATGTAGCTGTGACAGAGCGTATCAAAGTGGAACTGTCACATTCAAAACACTGCAGAGAGCTGTGCAGTGTAAGGGAGCTTGACAGTGGATTTCTCAAAAAGTACACAGTAAAAGTACTTCATAGTACCTCTTGAATTATGGAAGAAAATATATATAATTATTGTTTTCTCCAAGAAAACTGTTTGTTTTTTTAAAATTGTGAACACCTTATTTTGAAAAACAGAAGCCGTTTCATCATGTGTGTCTCATAGTCAGTTTTATGGTAAGACCTAGGCATTCAGCACTTGACGTCATCACTCTCTCTGTCTGTTACTCCTGCTCGCTCTGGAGTCCGGAGCATTTACCATAAAGATCAGAATACGTGAGCACTTCAAATTTAGGGGCGGCTCACTTCACCATGTAAAAGCGAGGAGCGGCTGGCTTCACCGCAGTCTAACTCTTGGGTTATTTCCACTCTCAGTGCATGAAAACAGTATAACTAAAACCCTGAAAACAGCTTCATGAGTACTTAGCAGCAACTATAATCCTGCAGACTATTTCAAAGTCAATCCAAAGAAGAAAGTGCTGCAGCTCAGGTGCATCACAGCCAGACTCTAATCCAATCTAAAGCAGGTGGGAGGAGCAAAGGGACAAACTTAGAGCCGCCAAATGTAGGACTAACTTCACCTACTGAGAGGCTCCACAGGCAGCTGTCGGCCTACAGAAGATGGCCTGATGTGACTTCTACACACAGACACATTAATACTGCAACTGTTACCAACAGAAAGCAAAACATTCATGGACCACATAAAACCAATCCTGACCTCCCTGCATTGGCCTCCTATTCACTCCACATTCATCTGAAGATTACTAAAAAAAAAACCTGCTGGATAAGTGAAAAATAAATACAATATGCTACACTTTAAAAAAAAAATAGTTATAAGGCAGCAACATGAGTTATAACTTCAGAAAAAACTTGAAATGTGTTATTATCCCATTATAAATTTATCCATATACATACACACAAACACATACTGTATATTGACTGTGTGACCGTTATGTTGCCTTTCAGTTGATTTTCCTCCACAAGGCCTTTCAGAGAAAAGCACCTGATGCAGTGACTAAGTGAATCCTCTAGAGGGCAGTATCTGACTGCAGCACTAAATTTGTCCATCCTGGACTGATCCCTGAATATGTTTCAATTTGTAATCTTACTCTTACATTTTATGTCTCAATAAATTCCTCTTTATATTAAAATCTATAAAATTCATCACATCCCAGTTTTTACCTTTTAGCCCAAATACATTACAACTTTAACAACCTTGCAAAACCTCGGTCAAGCCAGCCGCCGCTTGAAAGGTGTTTACAGTACAGGTGCTTGGAGCACCCAAAAAGAATGAATGCGACAGCGTATTTCAGCAAAAGATACCATCAATAATAACGGCTGACAGAAAAAAAACACAAAGTTAAGACAAGACAATTGTCAGCATATTTTACTGTATAGTTTGTTAAAAATTAAAGGTAAAGTCTGCTCAAATTGCATTAAGCTGCTTTGATATTTTTTGTCATTTCTGATCTTTTATTTTGAAAAATCTGTGATAGGTGACAAGAAACTTTCAATTGGTTCTTGTTCCTCATGTCCCTGGCTGTGTCCCTGTGAATCTTTAGCATATTTTACTGTATAGTTGTTGAGGTAATTAAAGGCACAGACCGCTCACATTGCATTATGACACTAACATTTTAGTGATATTTAATATTTTATTTTGAAAAATCTGTTACAGGTGACAAGAAACTTTCAATGGATTATTTTTTTCTCATGTCCGGTGTGCCTTTAAAGACAGTAAACGTTTTACTGTAAGTTAGTAGGTCTACTGAGATGAAAGTAAGAAAGTAATAATAATGTATTAGACTTTAATAACGCTTTTCTAAGTACTCAAAGACACTTAACAAAGAATAACAACAAAACAAAACAGTGAAAACAATAAAGATGATATAAGAGAAGGAGGACGAGAACAGAGTTGGTTAGTGGTTGGCGATGTTGAAGAGGTGAGTTTTTAGGGATTTCTTAAAAGTTAGCTATAGTTGGAAAGGAGCTTCTAGCTTGTAAGGGATGTGTATAGTGCTGTTTCCAATTGAAACATAATCGTGAACTAGAATTAGAGAAACCAACAGGAGTAAGCTTGACATGAAGCCAACTGGAAAAATACCAGTTACACTTCAAACACAAGAACCTGGCATGGCTCACTTAATGAGCAGAACAATTGATCAACAAGTGTTCATGGGAGAAAAGTTTCATATTTAGCATCAGGTTCACTTTCTTCTCAGCAGTCTCTAGAAACAAACGCTTGTGGTTCCTCATATGTGGTTTGCATTTAACAGCAATTAGCCTTCATATGATATATGATATGAAATGATAGTATAGTATTGTATTGTATATAGTATTGATACTATAAAACTGGATGTTTTATCCTTAAAGGTTTACATTATAATGCATTGTTATGAATTAAAATGTAGCATTATAACCCAAACATTAAAACATGACAAGCTGCAACCGTCTACAATCGAGCACTTGTGGGACTATCTGGGAATTCAAAACACAAACCGTGTTACACAACAAACCAGTAACAAGATCATGGATACAGTAGCCATAGTGGTGTGGTTAAAGTATTTGACTTTAATCCCACTGTTCAAGCAACGATAAATTCTAAGACTGTATTCAGTATTGTATCACTCATTGTCAATATATGCTTAGAAAATGTTTCTAAAAACAGACTGTTTGTTTACAAGCTGTCGATTGTCTCATCTGACTCCTACCCTGTGGCAGCAGTAACAGGCATAAAAACAATCTACAAAAGTTTAAAAACTTCTCACAGGAGCTTTAAGACACCAAAATCCGAATTAAGCAGGATTTAAATTGGTGTTTAAAAAAGAAAAATAATGAGTAAGTTATTGAAAATGAAGTATCCTTCCAGTTGTCACAATTTGAGAAATCAGCCATCGGGATCAAAACTGGGATTTACTTGCTTTTGGAACCAGCTCCAAGTGGCCACTCGAGGAACTGCAATTTTGGCACTTGAGCTTTACTTACTTTCTGAGCACTTGAAGTTGTTTCTTGGTTAACATTAGTTTGGCAGAGTTACAGAAGAAGAATAAAGTACAGGAAAGCATTTATATAAATGCTACTATTCTAATAAAGCATGTGGACAAGAAATACAGAAGTGTTTCAGGTAGACTTTTCTTTGTTGTATGTGCAGATCATGTATGAAATGCTAATACATGAGTTTTATTGTTACTCATTTTCATCCAGCTCAAGTCACTCTTCTCTCCGGTGATGACTCTCCTGTGTTTGTCGAGCCTACTGATCTGGTACTTACTGGACAGGTAAGTGTGAAAATGGCATTTCCCTTTGCTACGTGCACACTCTCACACACATAGACTGTCAAACACATCGCAGATATGTTGTTTTACTTCTTTCGGCACCCTTTAGCCGTTCATACTGCTAAAATGCACGTAGCCTTTGTCGACGTGTTAATCTTTTCTTTTTCTCGGCTTCATTCATATGTGTATAGGATATCTTATTAGGAACCACGTGTGTCTGTGTTCTTAAACAGTGGAGATAAGAGGAGCTTTAAGTAATTTATTTTATAAAAACAAACAAATGCAAGAAAATGTGAAAATTACAGTTGGTTATATTAAGATTATTTTAGTGATGCGACAGACAGAGAGGAAGAAGAGAAACACAGAGACACAGAGGAAGAAGAGAAACACAGAGACAGAGAGGAAGAAGAGAAATACAGAGACAGAGAGGAAGAACAGAAACACAGACAGAGAGGAAGAAGAGAAACACAGACAGAGAGGAAGAAGAGAAACACAGAGACAGAGAGGAAGAAGAGAAACACAGACAGAGAGGAAGAACAGAAACACAGACAGAGAGGAAGAAGAGAAACACAGAGACAGAGAGGAAGAAGAGAAACACAGAGACAGAGAGGAAGAAGAGAAACACAGACAGAGAGGATGAAGAGAAACACAGAGACAGAGAGGAAGAAGAGAAATACCTGGATGAGGCAGAGAAAGGGTAAATATTTCTGACTAGTAGGCCCTATGTGTATTACTTTTGTGTCTCCATAATTGTAGTTTCTTGTGTGTTATCCATTCACTAAGATAAAACACAGGATGATTACGATCAACCTCCTGCAACCTGATAGAACAGAACATTACACCAGTGGTTCTCAACTTCAGGACCCACTACCAACCTCTTCATCAGTAGGCCTACTTAAATTTCTAATATTTATAACCAATCAGATTCATTCAATAGAAAAGTGTGCAAGTTTGGACTTCAGAAGGTACAAAAATGTGACTGATCAAAGGAACAGAACAACACAAACATGCTTCAAATTCACAGCCTTTTAGACCTTTTGTTTTCAGTACACATTCAGTACCCACTGAAAAAGGCTCCCCGACCCACTTTAGGGTCCCGACCCATCAGTTGAGAACCACTACATCAGCTCAACAAATGCATGAGGGCCCCCAAATGACTAAATCCACCACTGTCTGCATTATGATGCTGTTATTTCAGCAAACGTTATTCCCATAATTTGCGAGTAATCACAAGAAAGACCATTTCTATCTCGGGCTCATACAGCTGAAGTGAGCCAGCGTGCAGCCGTTTAAAAATGTATTTCATTTCTCTTTCTGCCTCTCTCTTCATCTCCTTTGTCTCTGTGTGTTTCTTTATTTCACCATCTTCACTTGTAGGAATCTCTAAGCTTGTGTTTATGATGTTACAGGACTTTGGGGCAGCACTGTGCAATCATTTCCTCAAACACGCTGATGTGCATCATGGAATAGTCCATGTAGTGTGGCTGGAGGGGAAGGGGGCCCTGAAACATGAGTTATAGATGAATTAGCCATTCTTCTGATTACATTTTTTTAGAAAAACATAACTCACCACAAAGTTCAATAATAATAAATTATTATTATTATTATTGTTATTGTAGATAATTCTTAAAGTTTAATTTTTTGGGGGCATTTTATAGAGCCCCTGCAGGTTGGGGGCCCAATACAATTGCCTACCTATGCCTGATGGTTAAGTCTGCCACTGGTTAGAGGAGTGCTTTAACAAACATTCATAGATAAAGATACCATCATAAAATTATTTCAAATACACACTCTACATTTACATTGACAATCAACCATGCACTCTTGAAAAACAGGAATAGCTGGTCATCACAAGATAAACCTTTAAACTTAAAGTGAAGACTTTTTTTTTTTTGTCAAGGTAGTTGATGTTAGGTTCGTGGTGTCTTGTGGTGTCAACGACTTCCTATCTAACATTTTTGTGTTTTACTTGATGTTTGAGTGACCGTTCTGACATATTTCAGCCTCCTGTCTGCTTGCTCAGGTAAATCTTGAAATTTGGACCAGAAGTGAGGATACACTCAGACTTTTTTATTATTTTTTTTTACTGTGTGGTGACACTGCAGGGATATCTTACAGTGAAAGACGACAGTGACAGTGAAAGAGAAGCAGGCAAGAGTGAAACATTGACTGGATCCATAATCAAAGGACTAGCTTTTTACCTGGAACATGAAGGTAAGAATCAGCTCTTTTTGTAGCTTGTAAATTATTAGGGCCCGAAGCACTGACAAGTGCCAACTCAGTGTCAGTGTGTTCTAGACATGTTGAAGATATCAGCTTGTGCTGTACATGATTCTACATAAAAGGGCGTGGCCATGGTGTAATGTAAAACTTTGATGTCTTAGCACGTCCCTGTGAACCTTTCAAAAAGTCCTCACCATAGAGGTTTTTTTTACATTCATGCATGACAATTTTTATGTATATGAAACATGTCAGGACCTACATGAAATCTTCTTGCACCCATTGTCAAAACCCAACAGGAAGCCCGCCATCATTTTTTTAATTTCAAAATAATGGCCCGATTTTGCGTTTCACAGGCTGTCTATTTTGACAAACTTTTTTCAGGCCCCGTACATCTGATCATCCCCAGAGTCAATCAGTGTATTCTAGACATGTCGATGATCTAAAGATTTGATCTACACGATTCTACATTAAAGGGCGTGGCCTCGGCACACTGTAAAACTTTGATGTCTGGGTGCGCCCCGGTAATATCTTCCAAAAGGCCTCCCCATAGAGGATTATTTCAACTACATGCATGACATTTTTTATGTATATTAACCATGTCAGGAACAATTAAAAATCCTTACACCCATAGTCAAAACCCTGAAACCTGACTGTGATCAGTGTTGGTCATTCTCAGGGCTTGACTCCTATTGTGTATAAATTAAAAGACTGAAATGAATAGACTGACTGATTTATAAATCACGATCCACCTGGAAATGTGCACACGTAGATTAGCCCCATGTTCCGCTCTCTACACGCCCATATTCAACTATAAACGGTCGATGCAAAGCAGCTCGTGAATGAAAATGCATATCTCATTGAAAACGGCTCATTGTCTGCGAGCGAATAAATAAAACTGTCAGTTTGAATGATTATGATGACGTGGATCTGTCAGTAAAGTTTGATATTTAGTTAAATAAAATGTGGAAGAGACATCAATATACATTCTTCAGGCTTCAATTCATCACTTCGCCGTCTGTGTCGCCAAATCCCCATGCCTCCAAAATGTACGTATGCATGGGTTGGAGTTCGCTTACCGGTGCGCACATTTTAACGCCAGGTTTGTTTTTAAAGGTAAAAGGCGTATGCCACTTTCAGGCCCCATTTTGTGCGTACGCAGTCCCCAGGTCCACGTAAACATGGAATCCACAGCATGGATACATTGGAACCGACAATGACAACAGGCACAAATCGATCTGCTGGCCTCCTCCTTGGCGCCACCTCGCTACTGCTGCCTCCCAGCGGTCGCGACACACCCCGACATGCACGAAGTGCGAGGGCCCTTCATCACCGCTTGCGGTTTTTATTATATATATGTTTTATATATAAGTGTTCATGGGAGAAAATTAGTTTCATCTTTAGCATCAGGTTCACCTTCTTATCAGGTTTTCAAGTAACAGTAATTCAACACGAACACGAACTTCCTAAATACAGACAGCACATAAAGTGTCCCACCACAGGAGCTAACACACTGGACCACTGCTACACAGTAATAAAGGACTCATATCACTATGTTCCCTGTGCAGCTTTGGGACTCTCTGATCACTGCCTAATTCACCTCATCCTGACCTACAGGCAGAAGTTAAAAACTGCTAAGCCTGTAGTAAGGACTGTAAGGAAATGGACAGAGGAGTCAAAACAGGAGTTACAGGCCTGCTTTGATGGCACTGATTGGAGTGTTTTTGAAGCTGCATCAGCAAATCTCAATGAACTCACTGACACTGTGACATCATACATCAGCTTCTGTGAGGATGTGTGTGTGCAGACCAAGACCTTCTGCACATACAACAAGCCCTGGTTTACACCTCATCTAAGGAAGCTGCGTCAGGCCAAGGAGGAGGCCTACAGGAGTGTGGACCGGGACCTGTTCAAGCAGGCCAGAAACAACTTGACAAAGGCGATCAGGGTAGCTAAGAGGCTACACTGAGAAGTTAAAACGGCCAAGAACTGGTGGCGACGAAGGCCGCCTGTGTTGTCGGCAGGCGACGCCTCTTGTCTTGGCCAAAAAGTTGCTGCAGTCTTTGTGGTGTGTTCTAGTGCAACTTTTTGGCCAAGACAAAATGTGAAGCCGACACCACAGGCGGTCTGCTTGGTGTGTCAGGGCCTTTATAGTTGATACTATAAAACTGGATGTTTTATCCTTAATGGTTTACATTATAATGCATCAAAAGAGGCATCAATATGTATTTTGGTCAGTTTGATCAAAAGTTCTCACAGGAGCTTTAAGAAGCTTTAAGAAAGTCCAAATTAAGCAGGATTTAAATTGGGATTGAAAAATGAAAAATAATGAGTAAGTTATTGAAAATAAAGTATCCTTTCAGTTGTCACAACTTGAGAAATCAGCCAGCGGGATCAAAACTGGGATTTACTTGCTTTTGGAACCAGCTCCAAGTGGCCACTCGAGAAACTGCGATTTTGGCACTTCAGCTTTACTTACTTTCTGAGCACTTGAAGTTGTTTCTTGGTTAACATTAGTTTGGCAGAGTTACAGAAGAAGAATCCCGGAAAGTCCAGGAAAGCATTTATATTAATGCTATTATTCTAATAAAGCATGTGGGCACGAAATACAGAAGTGTTTCAGGTAGACTTTTCTTTGTTGTATGTGCAGATCATGTATGAAATGCTAATACATGAGTTTTATTGTTACTAATTTTCAAGAGCTCAAGTCACTCTCTCTCCGGTGATGACTCTCCTGTGTTTGTCGAGCCTACTGATCTGGTACTTACTGGAAAGGTAAGTGTGAAAATGGCATTTCCCTTTGCTACGTGCACACTCTCACACACAGACTGTCAACCACATTGCAGATATGTGGTTTTACTTCTTTCTGCATCCTTTAGCCGTTCATACTGCTAAAATGCACGTAGCCTTTGCAGATGTGTTAATCTTTTCTTTTTCTCGGCTTCATTCATATGTGTATAGGATATCTTATTAGGAACCACGTGTGTCTGTGTTCTTAAACAGTGGAGATAAGAGGAAAGAAGATTGTCAAATGAAGCTGCTGAAATGTCACTTGATCAAGTAGGCCTACATTGGAAAAACAAAAACTTTGCACAGCTACAGAATAGCCCATACACTTTATTTTTCTGTGTTACAATGATGCCATGGTAATGCCACTCATTGGACGTGATCCAAGAGGAGCTTAACAGCTCCAATTTCCCCAATTACATTACAGGGTATTTAGCAGTCAATCACAATCGTTCATATGGCCGTGGATTTTGTAGTCAGTCGACCAAAACCAGAGGCGCTGCTTGTCAACAGGCAAGGCAAGTCACTGAAGAAAAATGAAGAGGAATTAGCCGTCAATAGGAGAGAAAGGAAGAGGAGTAAGTGTCGGCTGGCAGACATGATGGTGATGAACGCTGGTTGGAGGGCCCCAACAGACTCTAGAATCGCCACTGACACACCAAAACAGTTTCTTAGGAAGTTGAAAACAGGAACAGAAGATGATGATAGCTGTAAAAGTAACACCGCAGACCACAGATTTTTGCAGATGACATGTAGCTACGTAGCAAAAATCTCTGCTCAAGAGTTTGTATACTGGTTGTTCATTCATGGTGTATGAAGTTGACAGCTACTGAACACTGAATTCATGATGTTTACTCCATTGGCTTTAGCATTTGTTGGAGTTTGAAATTCGTGAAGAATGGCATCAAATCTTTCACTTGTTAAATGCTGATTCATTATGTCTTCTGTGTGTTTTGAACAAAGAACACAGCACACTCAAAATGGGAGTTTTTCTTCTCAAGTGATGAAAACTAATTATAAAGCTAACATGTTGGCCTATGTGAGCTTTTGGATTTAGGGGTGATTTTCTTTGTGTTGGCTATCTTTTTGAGGAGGATCTGTCCACAAAGTAACTATTCATAACTGTAAATGTGGGGAGTGGTTCATAGTTGTAGCCGTTATCAGCAGCGTTTTACAACCTCTCTTCCTGCAGGACTCAGGACTGTGGATTAACATGTTGTCTACTTTTACCAAGGAACAAAGGAACTGATCAATGATTTAAGTCTCCCTCTCAGACAGGCTCTGGAAGACAGGATATTATGAACTTTTACAACACCTTGAATAAACAATCGAGCAGAGACAGAACACTCTGCTATCTACGAATTGACCCCAAAGACATGATCTGTGACCGAAACCAGTCTCTGCAAAGTCGTAAAATTGACCATCTGTTGAAGGACTGCTGAAGAGCTGAATTAAACCACAGCGTTCAATTCTGCATGAAATGAACATTTATGTCTTTCTTCATCTAGATATTTGTAATTGTCACATAGAATGTATTATAATCATCTTTTTAAACTCCAAATCTGATCTTCAGAACAGCAAAAAGAGTTATGTTATGTTTAATAGGAATTTGACGTGGAGCGCTATTGCCATCTAGTGTTAGAATATCCATGAATACGTAACCTTCATAATTATACATTTAGTCGTGTTATAAAGCATACTCTTTGACATTAGCTATAGAAGGTGTTATTTATGATTACTATTAATAACTATTCATAGCTGTAAATGTATCCTTCCTTAATGTCCTCCTTTTCTTTGTTTGTTCCACAGTGATGTGGACCAGCACTTACCCGCCCCTCAGATGAAAAGAGCCCCAAGACCTTTAACCTCTGCAAAGAATGCAAGTGAGTGTGCAAACACCATCACTGCTTCATGACTGCCATCAGATGAAGGGATTACTCACCTGGTTGTGTATGTGTATCTTAGTTTGAATGTTTTTGTTTTTTCACAGTAATACGATCATAAAAGTAATGCAGAATTACTCCCAAGCCTGGAAGAAGCAGGAGGACAGTTTTAAAAAATTCAGGTAAACCAAAAAGGTCGTCTTGGTTTTGAACTTTAAGGGGAAAAAATAAAAGAAGGTAAGAATTGATAACTCTCTCGTTGGTAAGGTAACTCGTTGGTAAGGTAACTCTCTCGTGGAACCACTGCTATATGTATGCGGGCCATCTACAGTGTTGAGGACTTAGGAAGCCATTAGGCCCGTCTTCATTCACCCTAAGTACTTCCGCAAGCTGGCTGCCTTCTGGCGTGTACAAGGCTTGGATCAGCGTGGATGAGCACCGGGCTAATTATAACTAGCATAGCTTTGGAGGTCTGTGAAAATGTGCATCTGTATGGGTTCTGGCCCTTCGATAATCACCCCTATGGACTCTACGACCTGACGAACCACTACTATGATGACAGAAAAGCTAAAAGTGTCCACGCCATGCCCAAGGAGTTTGGGCTCCTGATGCAGCTGCACAGACAGGGGGTGCTCAAGCTTCATCTGGGAGATTGTCAACGGTTATGACTATGAGTCATAATTGTATACAAGTGTTATTATGTCGGTCTGCTTTGTGTTCGGTGTTTCGTTTGTGCGTCTGTCTTTCTGCTGTGTTTCAGGTGCCCAGCCCTGATTGGAGAAACCCGGATGGTTGCTAATGTTTTCTGCAAAACAATTATGATCAATCTTTTTATTAACGCTTCAAGTGTTCATCAGACACATGTTCACACAAGAATGCATTCCTTTGAATACTTCTATAAACATGTGGACTGGAGAGCTGTAGGGTTTTTGTACTATTCCAACTCTGCTTTTTTTATACAACTAGTCTATGTATAACTGATATGTAACTCAGTTTTTGGTTTGACATTATTTTGGTTTGTTTGCATACTAGTTAGATAACAATATGTGTAAGTAATCTAGTTAAGGTAAAATAAATCTGAGACTTGCTCAAGAAACGGTAATTTCTCATGCTTTAATTTTGTATTTTAGAACATGTCATGCTAAGGTTACCTTGCTTCCTTTTTGGTAAAAAAAAAACCCAGACTTTTATTTTGAAGCAACTTCTGGTTTTCAATGTTGTTTAGGTAACTTAAGTTCGAGAAATGAATGTGATGTATGTATTAAGAGATGGTAACCAACAAAAAAGTTACGGTAAAAGGTGAATGTTAAAGTTTTGCAGCCTCCACCGGACAATAATCTCTTACGGTGGTTTTGAATTATGTGTGAGCTTTACAATAAAGCAGATAAAAATCATCAGTTGAAGAGTCTATCTTTCGAAGGGTTTTCTACAATATAATACAGAATTTGATTAATTTCTGACACATGATCATGTAGTGAAGACATGATCTTTTTTTTCAGGTGCACAAAACCACAAAATACATCGTTTGTAGTTTTGTAACCTAACAGCGGACATCTCTCTTTGTTTCTCTATCTCTCTCTGGTCAATGCAGAGTATGAAGTCAATTGGAGGTGAATTTTTTTTCACAGAGACATTGTGAACTGAAAATTCGTTGTTTGGTGTTTAATCACTGGGAGTGAGGAAGGAGAGGGTCACTTTTATGTTACAGCTGGTTTCCCCTAGGCTGGTCATAACATCAACAAAGAAAAAAGTAGACCCATGGACTACTTTTTGCAAATGACGGCTCACTTGACCGCAGTACACTCCAGTCAGGTGTGCACTGTGCACAGGTGACGACAGGCACACAGTTATATCCCATAACCGACTCATAACCACAGAGGGTGGGGCAAAGTCGTGGTTCGTTAACAAGGCTAATAAATTACCTGATGCTCCGAACAGCATCAGACACACAAAGAGCAGGAGCAGAGGGGTTTCATCTGAAGTGCATGGCACGAAGGTTACACGAGGGGGAAGTTAAACTCAGGTTCGGAGAAGCAACTTCAGCCAAGTTGACTCACCTTTCTAAGAGACGCACTCAGATCCGGTCACCGTCCACCTTCTGTGCGTAAAAGCGCACAGCCGAGACAGAACTTTACGCGCTCCAAGGAGACCTTCCTCCAGCCCTCCGCGCTCGCTGGCTCTCAGAGACTTTCCCCGTCAGCCGGGACTTTCACAACCGGTTCTGCTGAGTAGTGGCCGATCCGATCCAGAGCTCCGGGTCCCCCATGAGGCTAGAGGCCGCAGCCAGGATGGATCTGATCAGGAAGCTGTGGAGGGCGAGGAAGCTGATCCTTGTGGTGCTCGTTCCGCTGTCCCTGCTTCCCCTTCCGCTCATCCACCCCACGATGGAATTTCAAGGTCCTTAAATTAACAAATAAAGTTCAAGTTACCCAAAGATGCATTTAGACTTTGTATTGCAATTCAAGTAATTCAAGTAATCAAAATGGCAGTATTGTGTACCATAGATATAAATTAAGACCATTTCATGATATGGGAGATTGTTTTGCCCCTTTCAAGGGACCCAAGGATCAATACAGAAAAAACAAACAAAACAACACAATATAAGTATCATTTATAAACGCAGAATAGGTTGCTTTCTGATTAGCACTAAGTTTTATCAGACTATTAAAGTTGCTTAAAGTGACTGTGTAAAACAAGCTTGCAGATAATTGAAAAGCTAGATACACTAGTTTCAACTACAACCTTCTAAGCAACAAGTATGAAGAATGTCTTCCATAACTCCTTATAACCATGGTTTTATTCAATCCATGAAATCTCAGTAAATTAATTCACAGGCAACATGATAATTACCTTCAAGAAATCAGAAACACTCGTAGACAGAAACCATCCACATGATGTGTTGTTGTTCCTCCTTGTTGTTTCAATGGCTGCAGTTTCCTGATGGGATTTGTAGTGTGTGTGTGTGTGTGTGTGTGTGTGTGTGTGTGTGTGTGTGTGTGTGTGTGTGTGTGAGAGAGAGAGAGAGAGAGAGAGAGAATCAATCAAAAGCACTTTGTCCTCTTTCTGATGAGTGCTTGTCCCGGTCATCAGCTGAGATGTGTGTGTGGAGAGGAGATATCGTGACATGTTGATGAGATGGAGATCAGTAAGAGACAGAAAGAGTGAACAACATGACACTCACACTCAGTTTGATAGTTTTCTGTAAGAGACACTGAAAAGAACAAAATCTGTCTCATATTGCCGGCTCGGCTTGTTTCAAGTCTCAAATGTGAAAGAACATGGGAAACAACATCACACTCTGAATAAATCTGTTCAGAAGTTGTTGCTCAGAGTTTTTAAAGGTTTTATTCTTGTTGCCTTTACTTTTGACATGAATCATCTATTTGACTCCTGTTTCAATGTCTTAATGCAGTGTTTTAGGTTTGTTTGTCTCAGACTTTCTGTTTCAGAGGTTGTGTTTGGGGTTTTAGAATTAAGTCAGGATCATGTTTCATGAGGCTCACACCTGTGAGATTTGTCTGGTTTAATGTCAGGAATGAGCATAAACTCCCTCAAGAAGTGACATCCTGTGGAAAGCGTGTGCTGCTGTGTCATATCTTGAGAAAAGCTTGACTGGATTAGGCTCAAGTATGAGGATGAGCAGTACGGCCAAATTAAAAGTCGTATAGTACCACTAAATCAGAGTCACAGCTCTCTCCGATTTTTTAAAACTCAGAAGCATGTGAAAGGAGTCCTACTGTTGGCCGGTTGGGCACTTGTAGCTTAGCATAGGTGTGAATAGGCTAATGTGAATTATTTTATTTTTTCTCTCTCAAGAGTGTCCTGACCAAGACAGGCTGCACACCCATTTACAGAATTCCACACAAACAATGAGCAGCCACACATACAAATAAAAAAAAACAATTAGAAATTAAAAGCAGATTTAAACATCAAATGTTTGTCAAGATCATCCACAAACATATCAGGGAGATCATCTACAGCCAGATGTTTCTGCCTCCAAATCATTAAACATGTTCTTAAAAGCATCCAATGAGAGCAGCTCATTAAGTTTCAGCTCTTTTTGTAACTTCGACGCCTTTTTCCACAGTTCAGTTCCGACTTTTGGACCAGACAGTGAGAAAAGGGTCCCGGTACTCCTCTGACTGATGGAGGTCAGAAGGTATGAAGGAAGTCAGTGAGGGCACGAGGAAAAACATTAATTGGGGGCCCCCCTCCAACCAGCGTTCATTATTAATTCTCCTTTCTTTTTTCCATCCCATGAAGATGAAAAAAATCTTTGTTGTTCTTCCTGCATTTATCCCATTTTCAAGCCCGGCAAAGTGTCGGTAGATGTCTGTTCACCATGAGCTAAATCATGCATCATTGCTAAATGTCGCTAAATGCTTTGTGCTCATGACGGATTAACACTGGGTCTTTATAAACAATGAGTATGGTCTTTTACCTGCTTTCTAATTGGTCAGAAAGTACATAATTATGTTTCATGCTCACACATTTAAAATACTAGTTTCTCATAAAAACTAAAGCTTGCGCAGAGTTTTCATTTTGCCTATCTATCTATCTATAGGAAGCTACGATAAAAATCATTATCTGGTTTCTCAAAGTGCTCGGTCAGAAATAACACATTTTCTCTGCTCAAACATTTAAAAACTAGTTTCTCACATAAACGAAACCTTGTGCAGAGTTTTCATTTTGTAAACAACAGACCAAGCAGCAGATCTCACCTCTATCCCCCACGCTGTGGAACTAAACAGCACCATCTTGTGTACATAAGGTGTCATTGCAGATTACTTTTTATCTTCCATACTCCTTCATGCACCTTGATTCAAATAATAAAGATTTTTTCAGAGAACAATTTGTATTTACCTCTACAATAAAATCAAAAATGTTTTTGTGTGTGTGTGGTTTTGGGCAGTTAAGCAATAATAATGCTACGAGTAAGTCAGGAGGGGCATTCACAAGTCAAACAAGTTGGTTA